TAAATATTTCTAATAATAACCGAGAACAATTCACATAGCGCCATCTATGTCCAAGCTAAACAAAGCTTGTGTTACAGGTATTAGACAACAATTGATAGAATGTTTAGATACATTTTTTATAAAAATACATAAAAACACCCAGACTAATATACACAATTATATTCATGAATACAAATGGCTGCATCATTCGAGACAACGAATCCAGCACCGTCGGAAGAGGCCGGTGTTATAAACCACTAGATCACCTTAGAGAGAAGACAAGATAAACTCAATATAAAACTATATATGAACCTGTCTAACTATTATAGCAGTAGGCTATAGACTCTTCTTGTAAGCATAGGAGGTATTTGTACCTCAGATGTAAAGGTCATCAAAAACTAATAAAATGGTTTCTTGTGTAGATGAATATGGGGCACCATAGATAGTGGAGGATGATGATGATGGGGTGAAGTTATTATATTCATCAGGAACTCACATTAATGGACTCTAGTGGGGACCACGGAGAAGTCGACCTATGAGACATTGCTATCTATTGGGTCACTAGACCCCGTTACTAATAACGGGCTCGCCCATGATAATGGGTTTTAAACTATATTTGTTCTTCATTGTAACCATATATTCATGTCAGTTTTTTATATTATAAATCTTTCTTGTTTTTAATATTCTCTTAAATAGAAAACCAGTATTGTCTTTAGTTCCTCATTCCACCAGATATAGGTGCATTGACTTTGTCATTTGCCGTACCGGCCCGTTGATTGATCACCGCCCCAGAAATGAGCTTTAAATTACTCGCTTCCGACACAAATAGAGATGTTTCAGCTCCAATTTGCTGTTTGTCTGAATTTCAGCTGGATTAGTGGCAGTGCGAATTTGTCGGAAAATTCCAATGCTGAATAACTGAGCTGTAAGGTAATTTAATATTGGCCATTTTGTTGCCTTGTTGGTCGATATTCGATCGTAATGAGATTATCGTCCGTTATCACGTAATTTTGTCTATACCAATATTATAAATAAATAATATTTGTGAAGTTGTAGGGGCTAACCCCCGGATCTAATAAACTGATTTTAATAATTCTTTTACCAATAGATATCCTCGTTATTTATGCTATATGCCTAGCCTCGTTATAGGCTATCACGCTACGACCAATAGTAAAGTTGTAAAGAACAATGTTGCAAAAAAAAACGGGGAAAATGTGACGCAAATGAAGTTGCCCCAGTTAGCTAGTGATGTAGATATAAATTAGGATTTTTTTTCATTTAATTTCAGACTGTCTCGCCAGTCTAGCGGTTAAGCACACTGCCCTATTTTCTATGGTCGCGAATACGATTCCTCACGGTTTCAGCGTAACAAACAATTAAAACAATTAAACCTTGGTGCTTAATATTAGTTTGTTTTGTTCTGTCCATCAAATGGATTAGTTTCATTTTCAGTAAAGCGTATTCTTCAAAATGTTTTCTTAAAATAATATAATCTATCTTCAAAATACCGCCCACCGTCAGTTAAAAATACATTTCGTTCGTCTGTCTGTCAAACTGTAATCTGTCACCGTACACGAACGGAAACACACTAAAATAAACGGAACGACTTCTATATGTAAAGACTCAATTAAGGCCAGCACAGAATATGGATCATTTAAAAAGTTTTTTAGATGTTTAATGAAGTATTTTCATTGAGAGAATTTGAGATATATAATAATTTAAGGTTAATTCATACATCGCCATCTAGTTCAAAGTTAAGCTACCTAAAACTTGTGTTATGGATACTGTAAGTGATAAATGCATAGTTATATATTTTTTTATAAATTCCTACATATTATATAATATGTATGAATTTATAAACTACACAACTGATTTAAATACTTAGATACATTTTTTTAAATACATATATAATATACATAGAAAACACCCAGACCGATACAAACAATCATACTTATGAATGCAAATGTCACACACATTTGCATTCATTCATTCCGTGGGAGGAATCGAACGGGCGGCCATTGGAAGTAAGACGGTGTGCTAAACCGCTAGACCACCGAGGCCGTCAAGGTTTCCAAGCAGCTCTTCTCGAGACCAGTGTGGTTCTTCTTTATTTTTTGTATGTAACCGATTCGCTGTCCTGCTGTATGATGACAAACACCATTTAAAGCATTTTTTTGTCTACAACAAAATATAATGAGGTCCAAATTTTAGCTTATTTATCGAGGCCAAATGAACTGGTGCCCGTAGATACGGCCAAGACTAATTTTCAATTAAAACTTCATCAAACTTAAGCTACGGGTAAAGTTGCAAGTTTTTGGTCCAAGTTACCGGCTATCGCCTATTATGATAAAAACAGTCTCTATAATTAATGGCGCAAACAACAGCATAATTTTATAATAAATTGTTTATGAAAGTAATCCAACTATTGAGATTTGATTAATGGACTTCCTTTCATGACATGGGTCATCGACCCGTACACGAAAGTTATCGAGTCGAAAGAAAATAAAAAAATCTTAACGTTATTGAAAATGTATGAACATTAATAATGAGAAAATGTGAAACATTAATCTGACAAAATCAACAGGAAATTTTGATGGTAATGTAATTAACTTTAACTTTACCCCAATTCTTGTACGTACTGAAAAGATGATGTGTTTAAGTAGTTTCTTGTAATAAGATTATTCAATTTAATATTCATAGCAAGAGTTTCACATACCTATAACTTCCTGCTATCCCTGCATAAAAAGAGTATATTTAAATTAGAATTATAATTATAATAATTATAATTAGATTTATTCGTAAGATGATTCATGTTTTAAGAGACTATATTAATACCAATAAAATCTCCTCTTCAAATCATTTTCCTCTTTCCTGAGGATCCAGACAGCCCTTCAGAATTACTTTCTCTATGAATTAATCCGTCCTGTGTTGATATTTTCCATGGTGAAAGGTATCATGGTATCTGGTGTCCAGCGATGACCTAATTTGGTCAGATCATTTTGTCATTTATCCTAAAAATTTATTTAAGTTAAAAGTTATTGTAACATTTCTACTTCAATAAATCGTCTGTGACTTAGACCATAGTAAAGATAATATCTTTGCTGCCAAACTAAATCGCAGGTAACTGCGGTTTCTAGTCTGTGTTTATCTACTTCCAAATTAATGAGTACGTAATAACTAAGTAAACAATAACTACCTATGTTTATATACCTTTAGACTATTCATCAGTTCATGAGGATGAATTGTCGTTATGGGAATTCAAAACAAGCTAACGGCCCACCTGATGGTAGATGGTACACGCGCCTTATACGCAGAAAGCACCAAGAACACATATCATCATGTGATCTTCCGTGAGCTGTCATTCTACATATCTACATATTACATATACCTCTAGAACCCCTAAATTTATATATGTATATGTAATATTATATTATACAATGGAGATGCGTTCTTAATTATTTTGATTAGATTACCATCAATAGATGTCAACCTACATATATCAAGTCGTAGGCATTACTAGTAACGGATAAAACGTGGTCTTACCATGTGATTTCCTTATTTATGTAATTGGAATGGCAAATAAGTTGACCATCTGATGGTAGGTGGTAACCGTCGTCTAAGAATACTAGGGTTGTTACTAAATGATACCTGTGATATCACTCATGCGTTGATATTCTATAGGACTAAGATGTCATGTCTTATCCTGTAATTTCACTGCCTAATCTGCACTCCACAACCGAAAAACAGTTAACAAAGTCGTTACTTGGCAGCTGAAATAGGTGAGACTGACTACACACGTAGACGACTTTTTACAATCTATTTCTAGTTCCTTGATATTACGGCCTCGGTAGTCTAGCGGTTTAGCAACCGCTTTACTTCGTATAGTCGCGGGTTCGATTCCTTGCACTCGTATTCACAGAAAAAAGTATGTATGTATTTATATCAGTTGTCTAGCAATCATAACTTAAGCTCTTCTTAGCTTAGGACTAGATGGCGTTGTGTGAATTGTCCATATTATTATTATTACATCTGAATACTCAGAGATATTAAATGGTTTTCAAGATCTCAACACATGCAACTGACAGATCGGACTATCCAGTGGTAATCTGTCACTTTCACACCGTGTGTATTGGAAAGGGATAACCATTCGACTATCATCGACTGGAGGGTTCATGTCAACACATGTGACGTCACAAGTGGACCGTGCCTATGAAATTGGATTTTTATCCGATCTCGCGATAAAGCACGTTGCGTTTGTGTGGGAGAACTGTGCTTGTATGCTTGCTGCATACTGACTGTTACCCGCGCCTTATCCTGTTTTTTTCCCCCGTATTAAAATCTACTTCATATTAAATTCCATTAAACTGTTCAGCCGTTTAGCTGTAAAAATATCACAGACTAATGATATGTATCTACATTTTCTCAATGTGGATATAATTGTGCTTAAGGTACTTGTACCACATTAATTTAATAAATTATTTTGAATAGGTACCAATTTTTTTATATTAGTCAGCCAGTATTATATATAGCCATGCTATTTCAATAATTCCATGGCCTAATATATATACATATATATGGGCGGTAAACATTTACGACTACCACGAAAAACTTTTATCAATAGAGGTTAATATAAGACTTAGGAAAGTCACAAATAATGTAGCTTTCCATTGGTAAAAGAATTTTCGAAATCGGTTCCATAGATCCAGAGATCCCCCACAATCTCAAAAATTCAAACTTTACCTCTTTGCAATATAAGATTTTTTGTATAACAAATCGCTAGGATTCACACCGTTGCAATTATATTGGGTCTTTTTAAAAAAAACAACTTATTATCAAAATAACACCCCTGCATCTATTTTGTGACTATAAAATAGGGATTTATAATAAAAAAAGTCCCAAAATAATTGCAGCGGTGGGTTTAGAGGGGATTTTTTTAAATTAAATACTGTAAATATAAAAAAAAAAATTTTGAAACATTTGTTTTTTTTTGTTGCTTATTGTGTGTGTTTGTTTGTTTACAGCGCGAGGGTGCGGCGCGCAGCGATGCGGAGCGCGAGCGGCGCGCGCGCGGCGACTGGGAGGCGCGTGCGCGCGCAGCCGAGGCCGACGCCGCACGGCTTGCCAGCAAACTGCACGCGGCGCAGCGCGAAATTGTCAGGTATGTCTCTACCTTATTCTCTCAGAAATAGAGTTGCTTTTTTTAAACACTTATTCGTGTTTTAAACATATCAAACGTAATGGAGGACCGCGGCTAGGTGGAGCGATGGCATACGTAGGGTTGCGGGTAATAACTGAAAGAGAAGAGCTGAAGATCATGCCCAGTGGCGTGCCTTGGGAGAAGCTTATGTCCAGCAGTGAACTGCAGTGGGCTGATGATGATGAAATATTTATTTATTGATATAAATACATACAAAGACATTGTACATACATATTCGGGTATCATCTTCTGGGGAATGAGCTATATCTTCTTTAGTAGAAAGTATAGCCTATGCAGGGGGAGATACAGGTACCCACGTAGACGACACACACTTGTACACTACGAATCTTGGTAAAACATGAACAGCCGTATTGTTGTCAACAATAGAAATGAGTCTATCTTTAAAATTTTAACGATCACATAAACATCACCAACATTACTATACTACTGATCCCTAGAAGTAAATAAACACTTACGTTTTGATAGCTGACACTACCTTTGCGAAAACGAAACATTAAAAATTAATCATTCACTTAAAAATCCTGACTGCTAAAAAAGTAGTTACATGGTTCCATATAAAAATATTCTTAGCAAGTGACGTAGGTCTGACTAACTCGTTAACAACTTGGAACGTAAATCACACAACCTTAAACCATACAGATTCGAAATTTAATATTTGAAACGGAACAGAGATCCGCGGATAGATAAGAGAACGGTTACTCAGTTCGGTAATTAACGAACTTCGAGTTCCATTTTCGAATTTACGGCAGCGGTGTAATCGCTACGATGTCATTGGGCAGCGATAAGCGATCGTCCGATTGGCCGATGGGCCGTAACTTCGAAATTCGAACTCTACGGGATTTACGGTTCGAGAACCGTTATGGATTTGACCCAATTTGGCCGGGCTTCGATTGAAAATTGGATTTTTTCGCCTATTCGCACCGTCTATTTATTGGATGTAAGGTGCTTCATTGATATTAATCTCTCTTAAGTTGGAAAGGGTCTGAAGGATGATATGGGTAAATTACGTTCTTTTATTCTTCATACCTTTCATTCTCAGTAAATATGCAACTTTTAAAGTAGGTGAATATGCGTACTTATATTCATGTAGTAACTTGATTGGAAGCTGCATTTCAAGTTAAGAAGGCAATGAATTTACATACGTACGATCATATAGGAGCCTTCAAGAATGCAAGGTATCACTGCTATTACACTATAATCAGTGAATTCCAGGGTTCCTGTCTTATTACTAGATCATTTTGTATTCAATTTATTTTAAATATTTTTTTGATTACGTGGTCCATTATAACCATCAATAAACTAATGCGGTACTCTCCAAAATATTACTTTATTATTTTCGTCGAAATAGCTTACTCAGCACAATAATGGAGTACATTTAGCCGGCGAACCGTGAACATCCGAACGGATCCAGTGTCAATCACACACCGTTGTGGGAGCGGACGCATCTGGCCCGCCGTTCGGGCATTTTAGGGTTACATTGAAAATGTAAAAGACTAAAACCATGTATTTTTCTTAGTGCTTGGTTATAATAATAATAAATAACACTGGACAATTAACCCAACGCCATCTAGTCCCACGGTAAACAGAGCTTGTGTTATGGGTACTAGACAACTGATATAAATATTTAGATGTTCTTTTTTTTTTGTAAATACATACATTCATACAAACCGATATAAATAATCATACTCATGAATACAAATGTTGGCACCCTGCGAGAAATCGAACCCGCAACCATCGGAAGTAAAGCGGTGTAAAACCACTACACCACCAAGGCCTCTCCTTTTTATCCTCTTATTCGGGAATTCTAGCGGTCCACCAGTAGAGAATTATAGGATGAAATTGAAATCTGACCGGTTTGCATATCTTGCGTTATTACGTATATTCACAATGGTGTCCAGTGGGCATTATGGATATTCACCTGTTAAAGTATATTGTTACCAAATATAGCCCATAATCCAAATGACTAAGAAGCTCTTGCTCTCTATACAGTAATTAATTTATATATCAGTTAGAATTGTATTGTTATTGCCGATTTTTAAAACAATAAATCAGGTGAATTTGTAAGGAACCATAGACTTCTAAAAACTACGGAACTTGCCGGAATTTTATGAAGTTTTTCGGTCGGCAAAAGAAAACCAAATCCAATTCGTCAAAATATTTCCGGGGGCGAGATAAACCGATTATTGCGGTCTAAAAAACAGTGATACTATTTACTGTTTCTGTTTTCAAATATCTAACCGGCAATATGAAGCTTGTGTTTGAATTGTAGACTTTATTGTTTACGTCCTAAAACTTCTATTCGCGGAACATTATTGCGCTGTAAAATAAATATAAATTGCTAAATTTAAATTTGGAATAAATTTATAGAATTGCATAAATGTTATTTTCGAGTTCGCCACTTTATTGACATTTAGACGAACTCATTGGCGCAGCAGTTTAGGATACCCATTAGCTTATTTTCTAATGGTCGCGGGTTCGATGCCCGCACAATACAAATATTTGTAATCACGAATACGTCTGTTTGTATTCACCTGGAATGTATGTGTATTTACAAAAAAGTATTTAAATTCTTCTATCTATTGTTTAGTACAGATGTAAACAAGGTTATAATCTCTCAGGTTATATTTTTTTTATCAAAAATTTCTTCGATATTATAGTAGTTAATATACAACATCCACTTTTATTATTATTTTTTATTTATTATATTATTTAATATACAATTCCTTTTAAAGTGAACATATAAAAAATGTACAACTAATACTATAAACAAAAAAAAATTGGCGTTATGATCATTGTCCTTAACCTTAAATTAAATCCAAGCCTATTTCTATAAAAAAACAATACCCCTGCAGCTTCGCCACGAGTCCATGACTAGCTCTTTCAGTTTAAAGCAATAAATTATCAAATCTCCAGACATTAGGGCATCTGTACACGGATCACGTGCCGCTCCGTGCGGTAGGCTCGGCCACTCCGCGGTGCACGTGTGAAGGGCGCTTACCTTATTTGTATGGGTGGTGTATAACAAAATCGATTTATAAAGGGAGGCTAGGTATGAAAGTGAGAGCAACTTTGCATCATTTTGTTTGTTTTGTTTTATGTTTTAGTTGACCTCCCGTTATTGTTATTCAAGTGTATATTATACATTTACTGAAATTCACTGAGAAAATTTTGGAAAAATTCAATTTAAAAAAGAAGATAGTTTTTATGGCAAATAATAAATCTAGTTTCCTATTACAAAGACAAGTTATTAGCCGTGACATTGCCTGCTGTTTTTTAGATAGTCTGTGTTTCAGAAAGAAAATATAGTATTTATCAGTCCTCGTGGTACTATTTATTTAGTCGTAATTTAGATAAACACAGTCGTTTCAGTTTAGATGTGACAAGTTAACAAATAGACAAACAGACACGCTTTAATATTTATAATACTAAGTATGGATTATTGAACGTACAATTTTTTATAAGGCACATAAACTCATAGTATACGAACAAACAAAATTCACAATCTGAATGTATAAATATGTTTGCACCGTGCGACCAACTGAACCCGCGATAATCACAAGTAAAGCAGTATACTAAATTGCTAGACCTCCATCGTATATTAAGTGTGATACCTCAGCCCTAAGGAATTACATAAGAGATAAAATCAGCGTAACGTGACGATGTTACTAAAATTCAAAGATAATTTTAATCACTTGAAAAAGAAAATGGTGCTCTAGGTAGTATGCAATGCATACCAACTGCAATAGGGTTAGCTAGTTGCCCCTTTCTCAATAAGAACATCATACATAAAATATGTTGAAAAACATATATTATCATCCACGTGTATCGAGTTACAGCGTGGTGCGTACTACATCGATACAATCTGATATCGATTGCGGATCGAGTTACACTCGGGCGATCGGCACGCGCGCCCGTAAACATTCCACGTCGCGCCATCAATATTCATAATGCCTAATCGTGAATCGATTCGTGGCTAATATCGAATACGATTTGTTGGTAACTCGAGAGATGCATACGTAGTTACAGAGTTTGACTACGGAATCATGAAAACTATAATTTCGTAATTTATAGCTAGCTATCACAAAATTGCAATTTTAACGTCTACTAGGTTGTAAATGTAAATGTAATTTGGACTCCATTTTCCGCAATCAGCTTCTCATCTGGACTGTTGTACGTGTAGAGCCGAGGCTATTAAAGTACCCAGCCAAGCTCCTGTCGAAATCGCAGAAGTCTCCTGTTGTCTTCATAGGCTTTACGAAGCGACCTCACCGTTCCGAGAACTTGTGTTCGTTGTGTGGCCACTACTACGCACTCCTGTATTTCGGCCATTTCTTCGGCTTTAAAAGTTGGCCTTAGATATAGTAGCGATCTTTCGCTGTACAATCTAGTTCCGGTTGTAGAAAAAACTGTTGGTACCTACCAACATTGACATCGTTATTACTCCAGTCAGCTCGTGATCACGGCTAGTGCAACCTAGTACAGTTTACTTTAAAAAAATGTTCATGTTAACTCCCGACTAACAATATAAATATTTAGATATATTGTTAGCCGGGATAGATTATCTAATTTAGAACTTCTACTAAAAGTTAAAAATAAAGCCTTTCGTTTAATAACAAATAGTCGAAGCTATATCAGAGTCTGGCAACACTATACAAATATACCAAGCTAACCATGAACTTCGATAAGCGGGCCGCCATCCCCGACCTAATCCAGGGCTGTCTATTTACGGCCCCCTTTGCTCGTAAAACTTATAAATAATAAACGCGCCAAGACGGTGGGTCGCATCGCTCCCGGTGCAATGTTCAGATACCGAAGTGATAACAGAACGCGCCTCTTTTATAGTTTCCCTGTCAAAAATCTTTAGAGCATCACCAGTGTTAATTTATATTGTAAACCTTACAGTACTTTTTACGGATATATTTTCGTTTTACGTTTTCACG